TATCCCGTTGGCGTGCTGCAAACAGCTGGAAATGAAATTTAAACCAATACAAAACAGCCGATTTTAAATAATGAGCAGCTATGCGCACAGAACTAGCGTAATCACACTTCTCGGCGGTTAGATGCCGTAAACCTATCACTAAGCGAATGGGGCTGCACTGAGAAGTGCACCGTAATGAAAAAAGGACTTTTTTTGTTCTGAGATGCCAAAATTGCCTGTGTAGAAGGCAAAGAAAAGTGAAAAACTTATCAAGGAGACACGAAGTGGAGCAGAGGAGAGCAACTGTATTAAAAAGAGTTGAAGCTATTAAAAGATTCTGTAAGTAGCTGAGAAGTTCTAGCTGGTATAAAAACTGAGTATATAATACAACCCAGGCTGGAACGCGCCAGGCTTGCCAGTGCGATCATGCGTTTTTACATCAAACTTGCATCAGGAATCGTTCCTGCGCTGTAGCCTAAGATTTCGGCTAATATTGGCCGTGCTCTGGCCTCTTCCTGGCATGCAGCAGAAAGGGATTTGGTTGAGATAAAGGGTCTGCATTATACGACAACGTGGATCTCCAGTTACATGATTATCAGTTTTCTGCACGAAACTCCAGCGTTTTTCTCGATATTCGAGAAAAAATGCAAATTTTTAGCTTGCTGAAAAGTGGAAATGTTGCTAGAGCGGTTGTTCGTCAAAAAATCCAAATATGTAAATGAAGTGGACGTCGGGAGAGGATGAGGGTGGTCGTTCACTGCAAAATGCACTCGTTTCTGAGTTTGCGGTTTCTTAATTATGGTTGGAGGTGAAATTAAGACCAAGCATGAAATTAGAATAACGCAGCGAAGTTTCAGCCTCGCACTTTATCCAGTAAGCGAAATAACCACTTCACTACGAATATCTTTGAAGCGCCCTAAGTCGTGGTGCAAGTGCAAATCGGAACTCAGTTTGGGTATACTTTCTTTGTTTCCCATATGGGTGACAAATATGCTGACAAAATTTTAGCCACTGTTTCCCGCCTAGTTTTTCGAGTTAGGACAGTGTCAAGTGCAAACTTTGATGTGATCGTACCCGCAGCACAAGCCCCCGCGATAGCTGAATTTGAAATCCTAAGCTCGCACATGTACAGAAAATGTCCCTGCAAAGCTTCAGCTTTGTATTTTGCATGATTCGCGAAATCGTTTCCTGCCAAAGAAAACTGCATATTTTTTTGGGGAGTCCGTACGCGGGGTCTAGGCACGTATGAACGAAAGTTTTCGAACAGGAGGGCAACAAACAGGGTGAGAATATGGCCCCATAATTTCAGCCTCCCAGTTTTTCTGGTTGCTGAGATGAAAGTGGGTGATCCGAAAACATACATACCTACCCAGACGACCTCTCGAAAATATGGGTTTTGCCCGCTGTAGCAGCGCTATAGTTGCTATAGCACTGCACAACAAAAAAACAGAAAAACGTAGTATTTAAAATTAAGCTGCTAAAAGTGCTCGTTTCAAACAAATTAATGTATGAAAACTGAAGCGGAAGCTTTACTAAACAAATTCTCCCACTCACTCCCTTTACTTGCAATTAGTTTCAATACGATATTGCACTGCAATTGACCCACCCGGTGCCATGCAGATGCCCAAAATTCGAATTCGTAAGCTGCTTTGCTTTGTATATACACTTATATTATCAACCTAAGCCTAATGACTAGAGCGTACTGACAACGAAGAAGTGATTCCAGCTTCTCCGTCAACATTATTTGTCGAAAAAAGCATTTCGATTTTTATGCGTTTCTGCATATATGCAAATTGCAAAAATGCATATTGGGAAGAGGTTGCGTGTGTGTGTTCGCACTTTTTGTCACCCACTTTCAACCCGAGAACTAGAAGGGCCAGAAGGCTGAAACTTTGGGTGTACACGCCCACACCATGCGCAACCCCTCCATTTTAATTTCATCTCCCGCTGATACCTGGGTGCCGCGTACGGACGCTTTAAAAAAACATGCAAATTTTTTGGCGAGAAAGCGATCTCGGGAACCACACGAGCTAGGGGCTGAAACTCTGTAGGGATATTCCCTGTGCATATGAAAGCTAAAGATTTCAAATTCAGTCCTGAAGATATCAAATTCAGACTTCAAATCTCACAAACTTTCATATGCCCTTACGTGCTTGGTACTCACGTAATTTTAGGAGGATGTTCCCTCTCCACGTGCAATTTAAAAATTTCAAGTTCAGCTTTCCAGGCACGTACAGTACCCACGTACGGGCATGTGGAATTTTGGCGGGAAAATCGCTAACTGGGTAACCAGAAAAGCTGGAGATGAAATTTTGGGGGAATGTTTCTTGCCCAAGTACAAATCAAATATTTCAAATTCGGCCCCAAGCTATGCGTGTACTGACGTAAAGGCGTATTAAAGTTTTTACGGAAAAATTATTAACTCGGGAGCCAGGAAAGCTAGGAAACTGAGATTTTAGGGGAATGTTCCCTGTTCAAGTACAACTTAATTATTCCAAATTCAGCCTTGAGGCATGCGTGGTTCTTATGTACAGGCATTTAAAAGTTTTGGCCAAAAAATTTTTCACTGAACAGCTAAGCTACTTATAAAGAACGACCGTTAAATGGAAATTGTACATTTACTTTATGCAAAATTTATGGCGATTTATATTAGCGACCGCAAAAGGTAGGTGTAAAGCAGCAACCATTCGTGCATTTAATGGTCTGAGCACCTCATGTCCGGTGCGAAAGCAAATAATCGCACGGACTCGACCGATGCGTTCGAGCCTGGGTTCATTTTGTTTCACTCTAAACCTTACAACAATAAGAAACAAGGCTAGAACGCACCAGGCTTGCAGATGCAATCATATGTTTTTGCACCAGACTTGAAGTACTCAGATCATTAACCGCATGAATGTTTATTGCTTTCTACCTAACTTTTGCGCTCACTGGCGTAAATCATTTTAAATTTTACATAAAGTAAATGAACAATTTCCATTTAACGATCTTTCTTTGAAAGTAACCAAGCTGTTCAGTGAGCATTTTTCCCGCCAAAGCTTTTAAGTGCCCATACGTGAAAACCATGCATAACTAAATGCTGAATTTGAAATGTTTAAGTTATATTTGGACACGAAACATTCCCGTACAACTTCAACTCTCTAGCTTTTCTGGTTCCCGAGTTAATAATTTTCCTGCCAAAACTTTCATACGCCCTTACGTGAGTACCACGCATACCTGAAGGCTGATTTTGAAATCTCCAGCTCATACATGCACAAGGAATATCCCTGCAAAGTTTCACACCCTTACCTTGTCTGATTCCCGAGATCGTTTTCCAGCCAGAAAATTTGCATATTTTTTTTAATACCTCCGTACGCGGCACTCAGTACAGGCACGCAACACAGTCTCTTGCCATTATGCGTTTTTGCAATTTGCATATATGCAAAAACGCATAATAAAAACTAAACTCCAGCTGTCCAGCATGATGTATTGCCAAGCAGTTTTACTATAATGCCTAAGGTCTGGAGCTCGAACTCGTCAATGAAAATCCAATCTCAGTATAAACTGTTCACACGTTTCGCGGTTAACTGTCACTCGCATTTGTCATCAGCGCGCATGTAATCAGTCTTTGAAGAAGCAGCAATCAAAAAACTTGCCAGAAGATGGGGAATGCTGACGACACATTATCGCTCCAGCTTTTCTCAGTGCCTTCGCCTCTGTGAGCTAGTAAATTATGAAAAGGGTTGTGATGGAAGCCCCGAAACAGCAAGTCTGGAAAATTATTTCATAACTCTATACGAAGAGCAGTAGCAAGGCCAACTACGTGCTAGACGGACTTCTCACAAGTCTTTCCGAAATACTTTAGAACTGCGCGCTTACGCACAGTGCAGTTTTGCTCCAGCTAATAGCTAATAGCTGGAGCATAAATGCACTGAGCGTGTAAGCACACTTTTAAAACATATCGGAAAGACCTGTGAGCACAAATCGAATTTTCAGACAGTGATCGTCTGGATAGTTTTCTGCCATGCGAGTAACACTTATACGCAACGTCTACCGACCATCTGCAGAGCAAAAAACGTGTCCAGACACAAAACACTCAACAAATAATAAATTTTTCTACTATTCTATGAATCATAATTTTGCAGACACTGATATAATCATTTTATGGGAATTTTTTGCACAGACTGATGCGAAAACACAAGGAAAATTGGCAAAAAGTCACTATCTTCGATTTAGAATATTTACAAAACAGTCTGCAAAAAAGAGCCAAAGAATAATCTTGGAAATCTTAAATAGTGCTTACATTTTTTAGCCAAAATCGATCTGGCTAGTGTTTGCTTTTTGATCCTTTCAGTATTCTCCCGTTCTTCCCAAAGCTGCTGATGACATTCGGTAAAAGAATTGAGAAATTTGGCGACCACACTGAAGAAATCATCCGGCGAACTGCTTCCTGGCTCCTCAGCAAAGGTTCGAACACACACCCGGAACTTCAAAACATTGATAAAAACGACCTAAGTCAAGAGCGGCCGTTTTTTTTGTGGGGACTGCGGCGGCCCTTCTTTAGCGGATTTTGTGCTGCAACAGTTGCAAAGAACGCATATTCTCACAACCCTATGTGTGTGTGTTTATGCGTGTTCCGAGTGGGTTTTATCTGAAGTTGTTAAATCAGGAACCAGAAAAGTTAGAAACCTGCTGATTCTGCGGGCATAAATTCAGGTACCACTCACGCCTAGTTCTCACGTGAGGGCACACGAAAATTTTAGCGAGAAAATCACTAACTCAAAAACCAGAAAAGCTAGGAATCCGAAACTTTAGGACAATATTTGACGCATGTCTGCACCTTCACGTAAGTCTGAGTTTCGTGTAAGGACAGATGGGAATTTTGGCGCGATTCTTATACCACGGAATCCGGCAAAACGAAGAGTAGAAAGTTTAGCATGACGTTTTCTCTCAGCGCAAAACTCTGGAACTACAGACTCGGCTCCATTTACTCTTTCTCAGTACAGATGCGCACAATTTTACGTGGGAAACTTTTAGTTCAGGAACTAGATAAAACTGGAAGCCGCAAAATATCGGTCATCATCTATATCCACACCGCCCAAAACAAATCCTCCCTACACTTACAGGACAGAATTCATTATAATTTCACATCGAAATGCTGCATACAGCTAACACTACGAAAACCACTGCAGTCAGCCTGGCACTGTCGACGCTGCTATAACGCAATCACGGGCAGGCACAGTTTCATCAGCGCTACTGTCCCGGGGCCACATACTTTCCAAGTCGTCACTAGACGTGTCAGTGTCAACACGCGCCGAATTTTATAAATAGCATCTCTAATCATTTTTGATAAAAATTATTAAGAAACTTCAAAAAGCTTACATTAACATTCATATCATCGAACTGCTTTTCCGTTTGTTCGAAATCCTTTTTGGCAGTACTAAGAAAACTACTAAGCACCGGAACAAAACGATCTACACTTCGATCGCCTTCACTCCACGATGAATCGGCGTCATCCAATGATTGAGCTACTTCTAGCTCCTTCGTTACTACCATAATAGATTTCCGCAGTGCGCACAGCTCCTGTTCGAGTTCCTTTCGGCTGAAAAACTTGAAAAAGTAGGCACGATTTCTGGGAAATTTTATGCATAAACACAGAAAGCCTTGTTATCCCGAAATCTACTATTTTTATCAACATTATCTAAAAAATGTATCACTGTAAATTCTTCCTCTCCTAATCAGGAAAAAATGCTGCCTGTTGAAACCCAGGCTGGCAAGCACCAGGCCTGCCGGTGCGACCATGCGTTTTTGCACTAAACTGGCAGATCGCTAATAGCAGGAATGACCCCTGCGCTGTACCCCAACAATTGGACTCATACTAGCCGTGCTCTGGCCTCTTCCGGCATGCAGGAGAAGGGGCATCGGCTGGGATGAAGGTTTTGCACTATATGGCCGCACCAACCTTCAGGTACATGATTACCAGTTTTTATTATGCGTTTTTGCATATATGTAAATTGCAAAAACGCATATTGGGAAGAGGCTGTCT